ATGCACAGATGATAAACAGTATTAGAAACAAAATTAAATTAAAGTAACGTACTGCTTTGCAACACCCTTCCCAGAGCTGAATGACAGAATGAAAATTCATTACATTTGTTGTTCAATATGTATTGCTGTTCACTGTCAGACCTGGGAATATACTATTCAATTAACGCCTGTGATACATTATTCAGCCAAACATACAGCTGTTTAACAGTGAAAAAAGAACCCCAACGGTTTCTAATCATATTTTTAAATGAAATCCATAAACACAATTCATAACACATTCAACAAATGCTGTCTAACTAGCTTTCCTATATGCACAGCTATTTATTTATATTCCAAATACCCATGCTTTTTATTTCCTAAGAAGAATCCCCAGAAACTAACTTTTCATTTAATCAGTCATGTTACTTAATATCAAAAGAATATTATTTTGTTTGTTCAATTTTGAAACAAACAGCCGCAAAAACACAACAAAAAAGTCCCCACAACAACAAAAAAATACCCAACTAACAAAACCGAACAAAAGCTCTAAAAACAAACCACAGAAGTGAAATGGAACTTTCTGACTGTTTAGACACAGAGAAACATCAACTGAGAAAACCTTAATGTTGCACAAACATTTTTAACCACAGCCAAAACAGTGGTGTTTTATCAACATGGTTATAGCCACGAATCCAGAACAACACAACACCATATGGGATGCTACAAACAAAGCTGGCTTGCATTTGGCCACAGGGAGAGCTATTTACGTATTTGAATCCAGTCATCTCCTGATAAACACTAAGGCTTGGGCAAAATCCATGCCAAAACAAATGTCACAACAATAAGAGGGAAACAACAAGGTTAAAATGCTGGTGGTCCATTGACCTTACAGCTATGACTTTTACCAAGCCAGCTGTCTTTTGTGAAGCTCAGGATTGCAAAGAAAGAATTTAGAGAAATCAAGCAGTCCACAGAAAATCTGGGACTAAGAAAAAAACCCAAAAACTTTTAGACTTACAGCTTTCTTTCCTCAGGACACCTCCAGCCCTACTTAGTCCTTACTTTGTTGTTTGAGCAGCAGGGACAAGAATTAAAACTCACTCAAGCAGTTTGAACCCCCAGGTGATGTCAGGACTTAGGTTACTGCTGCAAAGAAGCCTTTGAGCTTCACCTCCACCACAGGTGTGCTGAGCACCACTTTGATGAGACAATTTCAATAATATTCTGACCTGAATGCAGTCCATGGGAGTTTTACCACTGATTTCAGGAGAGCCAGAATTTCATGCCGTGAGTTAGTATAATTTAGATTAGTATTGTAACTTGCTGAGAAGCTTATTCAAAATACAATGAAGCCAAGGGGAGCTGTATTTAATCAAGATTAATCCAATTAGTTAACAGTATTTAATGTATTTAATAAATTTTAATCAAATCTAATCAAATTTCTAAGGTTTTTTTTTCTAGGAGCAAAACCTCTTCCACTCTAAATGCTCTATTGTGCAAAGTTTGATGATATTATGAGATACCTTTTAGCTCTTTTGTATATAAGTCTGTGGCAAGACATTAGTCTTTTTTCTTAAAGAGTGATTTTATTTTTTTCCATGAATAAAAGGAGAAAAAAGCCCAACAAGCCTAATTATTAAGTCATAGGAACTTAGTTGTGTTAAGTGGGTAGGATATTTCCAAGACTTCTTCCTTCCCACACAGAGTAAGGAAGGTGAAGCATAAACACCTTTAAATGATCTTACACAATATTTGCCCTTTATTAGAGTTGGATGCCCCTTACAGGTCTAATATCTATTTTATTAAAGTTCAGCACTAATTAACCACCCCATATGTAGGCAGACAATCCAGTTTTCAGCCAATTTTTTTCTTTTTTTTTTTTCTTTTCTTTTTGGAGCCACTGTGTATTAAACCTTTCATGTCAGAAAACAGAATATTCTAAGGGTGTTCTGAAAAATGTAATTCCTATAATTATGTTACAGAAATCATGCTATAAACTAGGATTTAACGCTTCTCACTTGAAACCACCTGATACTAAAATACTCCTAGCTGAAAAGAAAACTATTTGAGGCTGTGTTGCACAGAAAAGGCTGTTAGTGGACAACGTGACTTAAATCCTATGAGCAATTTAGAGAGGGTATTTAAGCAGCTTAGTATCACCATGGGTATGTAGTAAGAACAGAACACTCCCAAATCAGAAATACCTGCCCGTTGATGTCCAGACCAGATTCTGACTTTACCATTATTACCTGAGGACTGGAAACATCAAAGCACAAGTTTTGTCTCAGTTCTGCTTTCCCTCCTCCTTGTGTGTATTACCGAGCTAAGCACCAGGGACATCAGTCGTTTCTAGAGGTATTGAGGCTCTTCTGCTCTGTAAGCATTAAGCAATAATAGAGAGGATAATATCAGCTATGTACTCTTTAAACATCCACCATACCATTAATTCAGGAAGTAAATAAAGGCATATAAATTAAATAAGCTTTTATGATTAACAAAACATGCAAATACGGTAATCTTATTAATGTGGTGAAAGGCAGAATCTGAATTTCACAGAGAAAGAAATCAGGGAGATTTATTTTCAGATTGAAAGTAAACAAGTGGGTTTTATTTTTCTCTGCTCATCTAAATTGAAGTTTCTCTTCCTGGACTGTTCAAAAATTAAGTTAACATCTGAGTCAGCAAACTTTCAAATCAATTCTAGAACCTGCTGTTGTTTTTCAGGCCCTGGAAATGTTACAGCTCATGGTCCTTGGGCTTTTTTTGCTTGTCTTCAGCCTTCAAGATGTTATTCACCGTTTCAAGAGGTTATTCATCCCTCCTCAGAGGCCTCCTCTGATCTTTGTCGCTGTTAGGATTTTACTTCCTATTTGAAGGACATTTGGCCTAGGAAGCTGCTTTCACAAGGGATGGGTAAAGTCTCAGGCAGTCTCACCTGGGGAGACCTATGTCAGCAGAACAGGAAGAGGCTGAGCATCTCCAGGCATTGTTTTCTTCAACTCTCAAAAATTAGCATTGCTTAGCAGGAAGAAAAGTGTTCACTTCATCTGCCACTACAAGATACTCAAAAAAATGTATTTCTAGCATGAGCTGCTAATTTCTCTGTGCAAGAGCACTGAAAAGTCAAACAGCTTCCAAGCACAAAATGTTCCTGGATGCTTTAGTAGAGAAAAATCACCAAAGCTGCATGGCTGCTTTTTGCAAAACTTCATTTGCATGACACTGGAAAAGGCAAAGAGAGTGCCAAACCCCTGTTAAATTACATACATATGGTTATGAACTAAGTTTGGCCACCTTATCAGCCTAGAAATAATGAATTTAAAGACTATTATCTTCTTATCACATTTTATATTAATATGTTTAAGAAATAATGCCTTCTTTTAAAAATAACATTTAGTCTACAGAAAAAATTAGTTTTAATTGTAAACATGTAAAATCAATAACGATTTTTTAACATTTCTGCACTCACATATTTAAATTCATTTAAAGCTGTTACTCAGCTTTCCTAAAATACAACAGTAGGGGACAGCACTTCCTAAAGCAGGATTGCCTTTGAAGTTCGTTATGATTTGGTAATTTGGGTAGATGATTTTACACTATTCACTAAAGGCAAGTTGAAATTAATATTAAAAATATATAATTTTAAAATTAGGCAGGATATATTTAAACTGTGCATGCAGTATTTTTATTACAGCTTCATTTTGTGAAATGGACTTAATAAGGACATTATCAAACCTGATTAAAATTGTGGTAAGTTAACTGCAGCTGTGGGTCTAAGTGCTTTCCTGAGTTAGTAACTAATGTAACACATATTAGCTTGTGCTCCTTGCATCCACCCATTACCTTTAATTGATTTGTTAATAGCTTTCTATCAGTATAACTGAAAGATGGAAAGAACATTACCATCAATAATAAAAAGGAAAATACAATAATTTACGGTAATTTAAGTTTTAAAGTTTACCATTTACGTCCTAAAAAATTATTCATAAATGGGCAAGTTCTAGAGGCATTCTCCCATTAATTATATCTCAGTATGAAGCAGACATTAAAAATATTATTGATATTATTCAAGAGAGGGTGCAATGTTTCTTGAAAGATTTATTTCATTAAGGCTTGTCACAGATTTCACATATGATCTTTATACTGTAATTAGATCCCAATATCAGAAATTACTCAGGTAAGATCAATGTGAGGCAGTTGCCTAAAGAGGAGCTGAAAGTTTAAATACCATCATGCCTCTGACCCTTAATCTCTATGAGAAAGTTCATCAGAAAATTATACATTGAGTTTAATCTAATTACCAAGGCTCTCTTTTTAGTTAAGAATTAAAAAGCAGATGAAATGACTCCCTCATTGAAATTTCTATCCATTGAACCCATGAATAAAAAATAAAAAAATCTAATTAGCCCATTATTTTTGAATGCTTTTGGTCAAAGGTGAGATGAATCTCACCCTCAGTCCTTTATTTTTCGATCTTTAACCAAGGATAGTAAGACAGGGATTCTGTGCCTGGCAGTCAGGTGTCAGGAATCCTGGAGGAATCCTTGTCTGAGCAGGAGAGGGATCAGTCTGTCTGTGCTGCTGCTATCAGTCAAGGGGAGGGATGCCATTTCTCACAGCAACTTTCCTCACTACACAGGGAGATGTGTTTAGAAAATGTGTGAGGTCCATACACATTCTCACATGCTAAAATCAGTAAAGGTTTTATCCAATATTCACATTTTTTTCCATGATCTCCAAACTACTGCTTTGAACAAGATTTTCAAGGATATTTCACCTTTGGAGGACACAGATCGAAACATTGGCCTCCAGAATATTGCACGAGGAAGACAGAAGTCCTGAGCTCATGCTCAAGGAGGAGTCAAGGGAGCATGACTCTAAAAGGTGTGACTCCTTATGATGCTGTCCTTATGGGAACCAGGTGTTGTGATCATTTCCAGTGGATCCTATGACTTACCACAAAACCATAGCAGCTGCTTTTGCAGCTCCTGGTGAGGAGCACCCGCTCTCCATGCTTTACGACTAATTTGGTCCTTCACGACTCTTTTCCTTGAAGATGTTTTTCTTCTAGGCAGGTTGCCCAGAGTGATTATGGAACCTCCATCCTGGGAAAAAAAATTCAGTGCTCAACTGTGTATGATCCAGAGCAATCTGATATGACTTGATACTTGCTTCTAAATTCAAAGCTGTCTCTGCCTTGAGTGGGAGCTTGAACCAGGTGACCTCCAGAAATCCTTTCATCCATTGTTATTTTAGGGTTATGTGGTTCTGCCTTTCTGTCAGTTGTTAGTCTGTCATCCTACTCAGCTCACATTTTAATTTATCAGTTAAAAAGTGATGAGAGCTATTGACCTCTGAAATCAGTTCAGAATCCAGTGACACTGAGACCTTCACTGCTTGATTCTAATACACAACAAATTAACTCATACGTAGCTATGACCTTGTTTCAGGAAGAACAATTTGTTCTTTATCCCAATCCCTGTACTTTTATGCATTCAGCTGATCCCTGTGGTGACTCAGAGTTGCATATCCAGAGAGATATTTCAGACTCCTTCTTTCATATGCAGAAACACTTTTATATTATATGTTTCAAACATATCAAAACAGTTGTATTTTTTTCTCCCTTACAAACCAATGAATTCTCAGTAACTTAAACTCTTGCAGAAAAAAGTGTATAATTTGATCTGAATAAGTTTTTGTGTTTTGTAGGAATTTTTACAAAGTTTTACCTTACTTTTTTTAAATATATCTTCAGCGTAAAGCTCTTTTTTTTTTTTTTCTGCCTAGAAGAACATAAAGAGAATGAAAGTTAAAATAGACTTTAGTTATCACAAAGGTAGAGCAATTGCCTTTCAGGGACTGCCAATCAATGCCAATTTTAAACCTGCTTAGTGCCTCCAGTACTTCAGGTATTTGGGGATTCTGAATTTTTAAGAGGTTAATGATTAGAATTATTAATATGTTTTAAACAAGATTTTATTTCAGATGAAATTGTTGCTAAATTAAAACAATGTGCAAGTCTCAAAGAAAAAAAAAAAAAAACCAAAAAAAACCAAAAAACCCCCACAAAACCCACCTTCTATCTTGTAAATTCAGTTTACTGCCAAAAAGAACTGAATTTAATGCAAGAAAACAGAGGTCTGCCTTACTTCTAACACTGATTAAACTACCATTTAAAATACCAAGCATTTTATTTCTGGTCGTTAAATAATGACAAAGAAATGTTAAATTTTGTGGTTGCTGTTTTGTTTATATTTCAAATATGTGTCCGGTTCAGCTTGAGATTCCTGCCCTCCCTTTTTATATTTGATAATTGAAAGTGCACCAAAATCAAAATAAGGTTGGTCTGTTTCTCTTCCTCCATCAACTACAATTGTGTGTTCTTATGATTTCATAGTTGTAAGCAAAATATGATGGGTTTGTTATTGAATCAATCCCTGACAAAGAGCAACTTCTACTTTCTGCTGTCGTTATAGATCACATTTAATTTCCTTCCTTCAGCAGTTTGAAGGTCACCAGTGCAAAGTGATGATTCCAGAGACAAAATCGTTTGAAAGCAAGTTCTGATAGGGATTTATCCAAAGAAATATGTATTTTCCCTCTACAGAACACTTGAGAGGCTATTGAGACTCACTAGTGTAGAACTGAAAAACAAAGAATGAGACTGAAAATTAGAAATTCTTTAAAAGGCCCAAATTAGGTATCCATTAAGCCACAATTCAAAGGGAAAAAAATAACCAAGACTAAAATTCCATCTTCATTCCACAGCAGAACTCAGAAACAGAGAAGTAACAGAACACATAGAAAAAAACAAAAAAACCAAAAACAAAAACAAACAAACAAAAAACAAGTAAAAGCAGGGGTTTAGCATTTTCTTTATATTGATTTTTGTCTATGAAGTGTCCAACTAAGCTAAAGAAAGTCAAAAGTACAGAAGAATACATCACTGCCAGGGTGAGAAGAACTTAAGGAAGAAAGCTATTCTCACAATTGTCTGTTGTATGGACCAATAATTAGATGGAAAAACAACATTTTTAATGGCTATACCAGAATGATAGAAACTTTAATAATATATCTTATCTGTACTAATAATCACTGAAGTCACTGATAATGATTTAATACTTTCCAGTTGATTATAAACCTAAGAGACTATTAAATAATATGAATAAGGGAAAATAATATGATTTTGTATTCACAAACATTTTAACCACCCATTATAAATAATTTTATCTCCAAAGACATAAATGTACTATGTAAGGTACCTGTGTATCTCTTGAAAATATTAGAGACACTTCTGGAAACTTTAACAATGTTTTAATGCTGTTCAAAAAAGGCATGAAGGATGATTTTCTTACTATAAAACACTGATATTTGAATAATCTGATTAATTCCAGCCATGAACTTAAAGAGAAGATTTTTTTATGTTGTAATTTTTTTATACGTTAATCTGAAGAATTATATTCTTTTCTGTCCTTCCACTTCTTGCTTTCACTAAGTCTTTTCTTTCTATTTGTTTAACCACTTCCCTTTCACTTGATTGTGAGGTCCTTGTGAACTGCATCTCTTATATAAATGAAGTTTAGAAATATTTCCAAATTTTTGTAAGTCAGTATGCCAAAAAAGCACAATCTCAGTGTCACTTGATGCTCCATTTAGCAGTGCCAAATGGATTAAAATAGCATTAAAGTCTATGTTAAAGATTTAAGAATTGACTGACAGGTCACGCAAAAAGCTTTTAAGTAGAGAAATCAAAAAATCCTCCATTCCCACTCCAAATCTGTGGTTGAGCTTTGTGGATCTGATCTATTCTTCTTCCTTTGGTGATCTGGGCATACAAGATTAATAACCAGTAAAAGCTGCCTGTAACAAAGGTAAATTGGAAATAATTGAGAGGATATGACAGGTATATAAGACACAGCTCCATCCAGAGATAGATGCTATCCTGGGAAGCAATTACCCTGGAAAGGATTTAAGGGCTGTGAGGGCAGGCAGTAACTAACAAGTGTCCCCAGTGGAGCAAGGCTGCACAAAGGGCCAGAGATGGATGGATATTCAAACTAAGTAATGAGAGGGACGGAGGAATGACTTTACCTCAGTCAGTGGCATCAGCAAGACAGATGATGTAACACTGCACACCACTCTTTGTTCCCCATGAATAGCGACTACTGTGTAACAACCACAAGAACAATTCAGGGCCTGTGGGGAAAAAAAGCCTTTTTAATGACTGGAAGAATTCAGTCATTAATTTCTAGCAAAAAATAATGTAACACTAAAGTATAAGTGTCGCCACACATACACATAGAGAGGCAAAATTAATGGATATTAATGAGATTTTTAACCTACACAACAAACATAATTTATGAATTGTGAACTAAAATAGATAACAGTCCTAGTAACTAACACGTGAAAAGTCTGGAAACCATCTTCCAATAGTTTCATAATCAGAGAGGATTTTCCTGGAATGTAGGATTTAATAACACATATTCTCTTGGATTTCAGATAAAGATGATGTTCAATGGCCTAAGCATACAAAAGTACGAGAAAAATAGTCCAGATCACATCGTGTTCTTTTCTGTCCTTAACCACTATGAAGGTGAATACCTTTATACATTCAGAACATTTTGGCAGTTAATACAGAATTTCTTGGAAAATGCCTGCCTTAAAATATATAAATAAATAAATAAATAAATAAAGTAAAACATGAACCATAGTTAACAGAATAGTGTGAGATAGTACAAGACTGATGATAACAGGCTTAACAGGTATTTCCTGGGGAAAAGGCAGGCATCAGTTAATAAATGTGCAAAAAATCCTCAGCATCAAGGCAGGTGATCCACTGAGAAAAAGAAAATAATTTCCTCCTCAGAGTTCCCTGAGGCCACAGGAGATTGGGCTCCATCCATGGGCTCCGTGCCACTTTTTGCCCACTTTCTCCCACGTCACCTGGCACCCACACAACACAGAAGGGAAACAAGCCTGGGAGACTTTATTGTGACATTTATTTTGACTTCGTATATATTGGAAGTGAAGTTCAGGGAACCTGCAGACGCCAACCTCATCCATCCTGGAACCTAAAACCCACTTGGAACCGTCATTTAGGAAAAGGTCTCCTTTTTTCCCTGTAATTCTTTTGGCTCTTTCCAAAGAAGCTCAGAACCCCCTCTGGCCTCACAGGCTGAGATACAAGCTGTTGTTTCCCAGATAGGAAGGCCTGGCACAACGGTGTTCTGAGCCAAGCTATGAACCTGATTAATGAACAGCATTGATTTAAAAATAATTAGTACTCTCCATGATCTTGTTCCTGCTACAGTCGGGAGCTTCAGAGGGCTTCCTAGGTTGGTCTTTCTGCTGAAATTACCTACTAAGAAATTAGTGCCTCCCAAGTAGGAAAAAAAAAAAAAAGAGGAAATTAATTGATAACTGCTGTAAAGCTTATTTAAAAAGTCGTGGGCTGGCAATTCTATTATTTTCCCAACAAAATGAACTGGAAGAAATGCAGCTAAGATGTTCACTGTAAAAACATTGAGGCCTTGAGATACAGAACAATTCATGAAAGGAGATGTGGTACTACCTAAAACCCAGTATTGAGACATACAAAAAACCTGCAAAAGAAAGACAAATTTGAATCCTTTTTTAAAAATTTCATTTTTTGTCCTTTCTCTTAATATTTTTTTCCAGCACCGATTTAGAATTTTGGCTTTTGCACCCATATTTCACCTCTCCCTGAATTAACATTAGTGCTGTGCTTCAAGATTAGCAGTTTCTATTGCACTTTCTCTGTACATTTATTTCCTTCTGTTTCTTGAAATAATTTTTTAACTTTTTTCTTAAAAAAACCATCAGTTTGCACTTTTCTTCACTTCTCATTGGTATCCTGTACTTGTGCTCTTTGGCAAGTTTAACAGAAATTGTTACCAGAACTCCTCTCCTCTTACTTATGCAGCACTCATGTGAATGTTATATTTTTGCTGATCTACAGAAAGTTATTCAGTCTCCAGAGAGAGACAAACCAGAACAGAACAAAAAGTAGTCTGCTAAAATCTGTGAGATTCTTTTCCCCTTCTCACTGCTTATCCAGGGCTCTAGAATTTAACTACACCTTTGTCCTGGAAATATCAGTTGCTGTCCCTACACAGAAAGAGTCAGAACCCTTTTGCAAGGCAGCAGGAAAATTGGTGTGACTTAATGCCATTCCCTGCTGATCTTGCCTGTCCCCTTGCCACCATCTCCTCAGTTAAACAAATAGAATTGCATTTTCAGCCACAAACTAAAAAACAGACCAGGATTAAAAAAAAATAGTCCACCATAAATTTATAAAATTGTTTCTCTTCATCGATTATTTTCTCTGGTGGGTCAGAGAAGTGTTGCCAGTAAAGGATCTGTAACAGAATGAAAACAAGGCTGTTAAAATGGATTTGTATCATTGTAACCCTTTTAATATTAATTACACTTAAACTTGATTCTTACCGGACTGCTCCCAGCAGTTTCAGAGAGCTTGCCAAGGTGGGAATGGCTGGGGGAAGTGGATGGAATGGGACAGAGGGGCAGGAAAGAGAGATAGAGGTGTCCAAAGCTGAATTTTTGTCATTTTAACAATGAGAAGAAGATTATAACTTAAAGCAAAGGTTTTGATCCTGGTGTAATATGCAGTAAAAGTTACCTTAAAGTTAGTTCTCTTCTAAAAAAAAAAAAAAAAAAGCTACAGTTTTATCTTAAATATACTGCTAATTTACCTTGCTCAAAAAAAGGAGGAACTAAAAAACCTGATAGTCACATCAGTAACCCTGGAATTTGGCTGATCGTCAACTCCCCCCCCACCACCAATGGGTTTCCTTCATCTGAACAGTCAAAATAATGAAAGCCAGTTGTAAAGACTGACAGATAAAAACAATAAATTGTGGAAGTAATAAAATTGTCACAAGGGAAAGACAAGAAGGAAGATTTAATGAGACAGAATGGACAAGTAAGTAAATTATTTATTTGAAGTCTCCATTCAGACATGTCATGCTTCACTATCTTTCATTAAGCTCATGCATAGGCCTGACCTTCTGCACTGGATGTCCTCACTGCTCTGTTTTTTTCCCCAAATGCATGACATTTATGGCAGACTAATCATGAGGAGTTGTTTTACTGATATTTTATTGTCTTAGTGTTGGCCAATACTGACAGACTGAGCCTATGCTCAACAGATAATTACTTGGTGAGAAACGTCTCTATAAAGAACGATAAAGGAATTTTTTTTCCTACAATGAGATTTAAGGTATTCCAACAGCATTGTTCAGCTGATGAGCATACAGTCAGAAGATGTTAAAATAGTTTTCAACTATTTTCACCCAAATTATTTATTCTTTGGGAAAAATATCTCCAGCTAGATTTGATGGGTCAAATATGTGCCAGCAGCTCCAAGAGCATAGGGAAGCATATAAATGGTTTATACTTAAGTTACTAAGAAATCAGAGAAAATACATGTTCTTGGCCTTTTTGGATGGCAAGATGAATTGAGAGTGGTACTGTAGATGTAATGAAAGAAGTGTTTTTCAGACTCTGTTCCCACTTCATTTGGTTCAGATACATACCTTCCATTAGCAAGAGGCTGAGTGATGAGATCAACTTTAGTATGTTCTTTTGACTGAAACACATTTGCCTTTTCAGGTATCCAAGCACTGGAATGCTTTTTCCATCTAGCCTGCTGGAGTATTAGAAAGAAAATGTGGGAAATTATTTTATATGCAGGAAATAATTTAAGCGAGTTATAATTTATTGCATGGTGAGTGTTCCAGTCACCTAGACTGAGGGGACAAGCCAGAGATAAATTTGCTGGTTCATTCTGCTTCATTTGATGGTTGCCTGATTTTTCTTTCTAGCTCCAGGAGCTACATCTGTGAAACAATTTGCCAGTGGTTTGAGGGATGGCTGGGAGCATGAAATCTACTGAGTAGACTGAATCCCCATTTCAAGCATTTCATGGAAAAGTAGTGACCATTTTATTTCTTCAGTGCTTCTTCTCACAGTGACTTTCTTGGAACACCTTTATGAATTAAACCAATTCCAAGCAATTTATTTAGCCTGGAAGCGTGGGGAACTGCCAACAGAGAACACATCACAAATTTTACATAGCATGTTGCTGGTCTTTAGTGAACCAGCTCTCAAATCAATTACTTCTGCTGGCAAGGAAGCCTTAACACTCTAAATAATTTAAAGTGCAAACTGTGTGGCATGCAATTCCTTTCATCAGCATCAAGATTGATTTCACCTTGTGGTATCTCTGCCCTACAGAAATGGCCTTTTTTAGTTAAGTTTTCAAAGGTATCACAATAAAGCAGTAAAGTCTGGAGCACGTAACACAAGGTACATCTGTTCTTCTCGAGTCGGATAGACAGTCATTTGTCAAAGTAAAAAATTACTGAAAAGGCAGCACTGAACACTCTTTTCCATCCCTTGTTACAGACCTGTAAGAGGAGTTTGTAGAAAATACCTCATTTTAAACATGGGCAAAGTTTAACACTTCTTATTCATGACGAAATTCTGAGATACATGTAGAGTTTAGTCACAATACATTAATTCCATTTAATTTTGTTATAAGCCTGCCCAAATATCCCAAGCAAAGCTGATATGCCAAACAGATCTTTATGGGTCAACTCCACCCAACTGCCTTTTTTGAACTTAAGGGAGGACTGTCAGCTCTTTATCTGAAGCCAGTGGCCAGTAACTCCAGGATGGTTTTGCTTTTAATGGTTATGAAAACATTCTCCATTCTCTTTCCCAGATACACAGAACAGAAAACACCTCAAGCTAAGAATGCCTTTGCCAGTTTGGTTTCCCCACAGCTGCACTTGGCACTCAAATGTGAGGAAAGAAAAGTTCCTGAGCTACTAGGGGTTTATTTAGAAAATTCTTTTAGATTCAAGTCAACTTTCTGTGGCTACTTTAACATAACTACCCTAGCAGGGTAACTGCTTCCTATAACTGTCTAAGTAGATTTGAGGAAAAATCCCATTCTTCTTTAATACAAATGAAAAAAACACTACTTTTTATTAAACCCACTAAAATTGAACTACCTTTTCATAATAGGATATTCAACTGTTGTCAGCAAATAAAGGACAAATTTAGGAAAAAAAGAAAAAAAGAAAATTTTAGTTTGCCCACTTAGCTTTGGGATTATAGTCAAGGGCATTCTAATAAAACTTTTGCTTATGGAATAGCCTTTGAAAACCAAATGGTGAATATGTTTCACAAACATGATCTGGGAGTTCAGGAAGAAATAGGTTTTACTAAAATTGAATCTGTATGGCTACCATTCCATTAGTGGATCAGGAGGGCTGATATTGTATATGCATAGATTTTTTTTTTTAAATTAGGGGGTTTTTTCCTTCAAACCTTGTAGATATAAAACGAAGTCCTTGGACAAAGTCAGACTGGAATTTTAGCAGTGAGGACCTCATTTGTGCTATGTATAGTGGTCTTTATTTCTAGACCAGCTTGTCTGCAGAAAACCATAATTAGAACTAGGTCTGAGGCATCCCCTTGTGGATGACCATTTCTCCATTGACTTCAGCTTTTGCATTAGGACCTTTTTCAGTAACTTATCAGTAGTTCAAAAGAATAAAAACCTAAATGTTTTAAAAAAATACCCCCAAACCAAAAAATAAAAGTGTTATTCATTCATCTTTTCCAGGCTTTATATTTTCCTACTTGCCTTCTATTTTATCTTACGTCTTTCAGACCTCATGCTGCAACATCCACAGTATCCTTTTAGGCTTAAAACACCTGAAAAATGAAATGAGAAAGAACAAAGCTGAATTATTTTTCTGCACCTAGTGAAATAAAAGTCTTCTGTCCTTCAAAGTCCACAATCAAACTCTGTAGAAAATCCACATAATGAAATGCATGGGCATTGCACAAAACTGAACATTCAAGTACAAGTCAGTGCTTCCATATAACCACATATATGAAAGGTGTGCTGCATGTCTTCCAGCTCTACTCACTGTGTCTGCTGAACTGCGTTATCTGAAGACCCATGACCTCTATTTATTCACCATAACTACCCAAGTTTTGCCATTTTCATTCTGTGTAAAGAGACAAAACAAAACATTGCTCAACAGCAGAAAATATTACACTCTACACATCCACCGTTTTGAGTTTTGAGCAGACAGACTGCTTAGATTAGTGTTTTGCTGTGCTGCCATTAGCAAAGCAGAGTGCAAGTTAGAATACAGCTTCATATTCAAATATGATTTCAGCCATATGTGGGATTCCAGGAGGAAGATTTCAGCCATATGTGTCCTTGGGATTCCAGGAGGAAGAGATGCTCAAAATTGGCTAGAGCCTCGTAAAATTTTTGCTACTGTCTTTTGTTTTTCTGAGAGAAGGAAGAGAGCAAAACACAAAATGAGCCAGTTGAGATTTGTGCCCAGTTCTGAGCACTGTTTAAAATAAACACCTGTCAGCATTTTTGTCAGTGTGAGAGGGAACTTTACTATTTGAAGGATGACTGCGTGTTTTCAGCGTGATCATCATCTGAGAAGATTATTAATTTCAGCAGACTTTCATTAAAATCAGGCCTGTTTCAAGTCTGTCTCATAGGGGTTGATAGCTCTTCCAGAAATTGGTTTTCAGATGTTTGTTAGTACAAAAAATTGTGTCTTGGAAAAGGCTGGAATGATTCTTGGGGTTGCCTTGTGGAGGGTCACAAGTTGGACTTGATGATCTTTGTGGGTCTCTTCCAACTCAGGATATTCTATGATTCTATGAATCAACCCCAGTTTTAGAGAGGGAAAAAAAAGAGAACACAAACCACCACTTTTGGAAGGAGTTTGATTTTTTCCCTAACTCTTGTTGTTGTCTTAATTCCTTTGTCTATTTTCTTATCCAAAGCAAGTTTTCTTTCTGCTTAGATAGCATAGTCAGAAATTAATACAATAGTATGTTATACCTCTAGAAGGCACAGCTCTACTGGTATTAGCCAGGAGTGTCTCTGAAACTAACTGATATATTTTGGAGTTCATGGACAATATCTCTTCACCTCTTATAGCTGAGTCCTCTGAGAGAAGAATTACTGCTGGTAGTGAAAAACCTGCAAGTACACTTGAAGGTTACAGTTTTTGTGCATTTGGAGTCAGATAAATTCAAGATTTAAATTTCAAGAACGTAAAAACCTTTTTGATTGCATTTTGAATCTTATTTAAATATATACTTGCTGAGACAAAATTAATGCCTTATTCCAACTAATCAATTGCTCTAAGCAAAAGACATTATTTTTAGCCAGTTTTATGGAAACACAGTAATTCTAAGAGACTCAATTTGATAAATAGGTGCCAATTTCGCTCTTCTTGCTGTGTACAGAATTTTGCTGTGAAGAAACTCTGATTTAGCTAAGCAGGATTTAAATAAAAGGTAATGAAGATTTTTCAGGTGATAAGAGTAGCTTATAGTTGATTATTTTCTTTTATATTTATATTTTTCTTTGTTTTCTATAGTTGTTTCTTTTCTTTTTTTAGAATTAAAAGTTGCCAAAAATCCTGTAGAGGACAATAATTCCTGGTTTTCATTTATTTACTAACTTCTTAGAGAGTTAAATTTACTGACTTTAAATCACCTCTAGCATACATGTTTTCCATATCCATGCAAATGGCTTCTTTTTGAGGATCTTCCTAAGCTTCTGTAATTAACTTTCTTTTACAGTGGCAAATTTGACACACTAATTAAATGTTTTGCACAATGGATCTTTTTTTTTCAATTTGAATTGTGTTATATTTCAGTTTCACTGACTGTTCTAACAGTGTATAAAGCAGCATTTGATTTCTCTTCTTCATCTCAACCTCCTTTAAATTTCTTTTCATGCAAAGCCCAACTTACCCACCAGTTAGAAGGAACTGCATTTACAAAGTTGTGTGGAGTAAACTCAATTAATACACAATGGATTTAGAAAGTCCCACTTGCAGATGGTCTCTTGATTTGTTTCATACTCATGAGCGGCTCTCTGGTGGTTTTAGCTCTTGTGACACCATCACAATGCATAGGAAGAAGATAGTGGATTGTGTCATCTTACAGAGAGACACAAAGTTCCTCAAAATGCCAGTTTTCAGCCAAATCCTTCTGCTTGTTTGCTTTCAGTGTACATAGCGTTGCTGTTTATACTCCTGTAACCATCACATACGTGACTAAGACAGCAAATGCTGTTCACTTCATTTACTTTTCTGCTAATTAAAAAAGCACCTATGTTACTTTTTAAACTTACCACTTAACTACGTGGTATAAAAATGACTGCGAGCCTTTCCAACACTTATGAATGTAGGAGGAATGTCAGGTGCAGCAGTCAAGAGGGGAAACAAGATGCTTATTTGAAGAGGCAAGACCAAAACAAAACAAACTGTTGAGTAAATTATTAATCAATTCCTTTGGATCTTTGCTGAATTTAAACTTACAGCCTGTGGTTTTCTCACTGGGGATTCACCTGAGGTTGTCAGAAGAAACCTATAAATGCAAACCGACCAAATACACACCATCTGACCTCAGATGTATTAGTAAAATTAGATTTCATGGGGATAAGTTCCCTTTTAAATGGGAACTATATTTTTTAAGTCAATAAACTCCCTCAGGCTAACACCACCTCAGCTGCTCAACCTTCAGTTCTTCTCTTGAACTTCAGAGACCAGGGATGTGAATTACTGCAC